CAAAGTTCCCACCTGCGAGAGTGCATGATCTCAATAAACTCATTCTATCAAATGGCATTTACTGAGCAGCTAGAATGCAAAAGCCACAGATCTCAAGGGGTGTCACTCAAAAAGAAATGAAAAGCAGGCAAGCAGATGCCATGAGCCACCGGAGGTTATGGAACAGGGGTTGACACATACGACAAGGAAGGAGACAGGAAATGAGCTGAGTCTTGAAAGACGACCAGGTAGGTAATGACCCAGCAGCAGTGGGAGGGCCAGGTAGTACCTCTCTCACTCCCCATGGGGCTACATCCACATGCCCTTTGAGATTTCGAGTATTATGGAAAGCCACCTTTGACAGTGACGCCCAAGTGTGCTCTCACAGGACCCTGGGTTTTATTCTCCTAGACCACTGTCTCATGGCATGGCAACTGCGGGCCATTTATGTGTCTTACATTGCACTGTCATGAGCTCCCTGAGGTCAGGGACAGTTCTCGCTATATTCTTAGCACCCAAGACAGGGCCTGACACACAACAGGCTCCTTGATTGTTTAGCAAATATTCACCAAGCATCCGCTATCTGCTACCACTGCATGAACACTACAGCACTGCAGACACAATGTGGGGGGCAGGGGCCAGGAGGTCTTTGACCTCATGAGCCTGGTTTCGTGGTGCTACAATTGGCGCCAGGCACAGGTCCACAGAGCAAGTGATCCATGAGTTGGAGCAGGGGACTGGAAGCCCAAAGAGAAACAAACAGGACAGGCAGAAAGTTTCATGTGGCCAGAGTAAGAGGAAATGGGTCTGGAGACCTGAAAACACGAGACCACAGTAAACTTCTTGGTCTTATCCCAAGAGCGACAGGTAGCCACTAAAGATGAAGCACTAAGGTGCTGGTGGTAAGCTATGGCCAAGACTACAAGGCCAGTCTGTCAGCAAGCAATGAACCACCGCACCTCAGCGTTAGATGCTGCTCTCAAGCTTACCCACCCCTTCCCTTTAAGGCTTAGCACCACCCCAACAGCATCTAGTCCTCCTTCCAGAAAGAACAGGTATCTCTCTCTTACCAGTTATCTCCAAACTCTTGAATGTATATTCCATCAGTAAAAGCATTTTACCCAAGCAGCCCCAATAACACATTCATTTACGAACTACACTCATGTTCTACTGTACTATTACATACAGTGTAACACTCACAAGACTAGGATTTAAAACACATGAAAGTTAACTCCAATTAAAAGTTATTTTATTTCCACACACTAACGGCTCATCTTTCACTTTAAAGACAACTGGAAGCTACCTTCTTTTTAAGCACTTACTTTTACTTCTCATTTATTTTCGACCACTACCATCTTCCTTGCTACAGGGTTAACGTTTGGGTAGAACTCACGAGTTTGGGTCATCTCTGCCTCCCTCCTTCACCCACAAGCTTTGCCCTCGGCCCCTGATACCAACTTCCGCACAGCAACTTTTAATTAAGTCCATTTCAGCTCGAGGAGTCCCATGACCTTAGGACCGTTCAAGGAAGGAGCCAGAGGAAGGAATACAGGACGTAGCAGAGTGACGAACCCGTACTAAACACGCAGAGATGCGAGAAAGGCTATGCAGGACGAGACCTGGAACCCGGTGGGGCGGGAACGACAGTCAGGGCATCCAGAGGGGCCCGAGGTTGGGGGCAGGCAAACTTAAAGTCCACTTCTCTCCAGAAACATCAAGTTTACGCGTCTCCGCCAACAGCTGTGCGCAGAATCGGGGCACCACCCAATCTGAGGCTTTGCAAAAGCTAAGTACCCTGATCCTGTTTCCGCACCTCTCAGCCCGGCGCGGGGATCGCCGAAGGCGATAAACTGAGCATGCGCAGCTTCGGTTTCAGGAAGGAAAGGAGACTGAGTACGCGAACGCCCGCGCCTCATCTTACCTCGAAAGACGACTCCAACTCATCCACCAAGGTAGTGTTAGAAGTTCTAGAAGAACCTGGTGCAGCCTGAAGAAGCGAAGCCTGGCCCGGGAGTCCCTGCGGGGGTGGCGGGGGTCCAGGGGGCTGTCCCGAGAACATCCCACCTAGCTGAGCCGCCATTTCTCAAACGGCTGGTAGGAAGCGCACTGCGCCCGCACGGGAGCGAGACGGCGAGTCACATGACAGACCCGGTCACGTGACGGTGCGACTTCCGCGGGCGTCTCCGGCTCCCGGGAGCCCGTATGTTTGGTGCTTTCCCCACCTCTTTCCCTGCTCACGAGGTTCCTGGCTTTCCCCTTTTCTTTTCTTGAGAACTGAAGACTTTGATCGGATTTGACACAGTTGTGCAGACAGAATAATCACCGACTACGGTGGAATGAGCCTTCCCGCGGGAGTCAGGAGACTCCTGGGCAAGACCTGCCGTTGCTGTTACCGCTTGGAGTGACTGGCCAAGGCTTTGTCCAGGCTCAGTTTACCTGTGGGTCGGGGGAGGTACCCATTCATTCCGCAGTCATTTTATTGAGCCCTTACCGTATACCAATTACGAGTCCAGTCACTGTGGATATAGCAGGAACAAACAGGAAAAACTCCTCAACTCTTTCTGGGGACAGACAGGAAACAAACGACTAACATTGGGGAGGCTCGCTGTCTATGTGACAGCAACTGTTCGCTTTGGATCTTTATGGTTCCATCAAAGAGAAAGTCACTATGCTGATCTTTGAATAACTTGCTTTGAACACTTATCTTTTCAGAAGCTAATTTTTAAAATTATATTTAATTTTACATTGTAATTCAGCAAGTTTATTGAGCCTTCCGTGTCTCAGGCTCTTTTTAATCTGGTGGTATAGCAATCACAAGTCTGCCCTCGTGGAGTTTACTGTTGTTTTTGTGAGAGACAGATAAACACATAAATGTACATAGCAATATCAGGTAGAGGTAAGCACTCAGAAGAAAAATGAAGCCCAGCAAGGAGATGGCTAGGGATGGATTTGAGATGGGTGGCTGGAGAAGGCCTCTCCAAGATCCGCACTGGAGTGACAGACTGCAGTGAAAATTTAACTAGTAAAGCTGTCTAGACAGCAAGGGCCCCCAAAAAATGAAACTGCCTGGCATATATAAGGAACCACAGATAAAGTGGAGCAAGACCGAGTGAAGCAAGGCAGAAGCAGAATAAGCACAAGCTTCCCATTGCCAATCAGGTCTCAGATCAAAAGTCACCTTCACAGCCTCAATCTAAAATAGACCCACACCCCCAGCCACTTCACTCTGTTTAATTGTGTTAAACTCTTTATTAAATATCTGAAATTATGTTATTTTCTTTATTGACTAAGTTGCCATGTGTGCACACATGCACCAACCCAACTGGAATGCAAGCACCATGAGGTCAGGGCCTGCCTGTCTTGTTCACCAGTATTCCCAGCATCCAGATCTGTGCCCGGCATTAAACTAAGGTATTTGTTGGTTGAATGAAAATAGAGTGCCATGGGGTAACTCCTCTACTCCAGCAGTTCTTGAACATTTTGCAGTTTTGGGGGCTGAGGACCCCTTTACACTCTTGAAAAATTACTGAGGACACCAAACGTTTTTTTTTTGCAGGTTATGTCAGCCAGTATTTACCTATTAAAACAGAATAGGTGAAATATTTACCTATTAAGTGAAAACAGTATTAATATTCATTTAAAAATAAGCCCATTACACGTTAATACTTCATTAAAAATACAACTATTTTATAAAACCAAAAATATGAGAGTGGAGTTACTGTTTTTTTGTAAATCCTTTTAATGCTTATCTTTATGTAGCTTCAACCCCAACAGCTACCTGGGACTGCAAGGGAGTTTTGAGGCCCTGGTTGAGGCACATTTCTCAGTCTAGGTTTCCAATGGTGATGGAACTGCTTAAGTTTCGGGTTCCCTACTTCAGCTGCCTTTTAACACTGTAACATCCTAAATCACTGATGTTTTGGATTTTCTGTTCTTCACAGCCACGCCTAGTCCTCAGTGATACCGATATGAATACCAGCTGTCTCAGCATGGTTCTGAGGATCAGCCAAGAGTTTGTGAAAACACCTGGCAGCCAGATGCATATGCAATGACAACTGAGTTTCACCTCAGCCAGATTAGATAAGCACATGAATCCAGGGCAAAGTCATGCCTTTTGAATCACACACTCTAGTAAACACAGAGTTCTATTTTATGTATTAAGAAAGACATTGATAGAAAGCTTCCTATCAGATCCCTTCATGGCTTTTTGAATCACCCAGAAGATACCTAAATGTGCTTAAATTCTCCTCATACACTGGTAGTTCCATAATCCATCTTTCATGACAAAGTAGCTTCTGGACGTGGATCCCCAGAGCAACCTTGTGTTAATATTCCTGCCTGATTTTCTTTAATTCTAGTATAAGTACCATGAATATGCATGCCCATTTCCATTCCTTCCCCTATAAACCAGTTTAGACACAAAAGATCCTATTATATGTCAAAATTTTTAAACATTAAAATTGTTTCCAATCAACAGCTCTTCCTATCAAATATTTTCAAAAAAATTTTTTTTCAAAAGGCATAGATCCTATTCATAGGTACTCTGATTCACCCAATACTAAAGTATAAAAGATGAGACCTTTGTTCTAAGCCTACACATGTGGGATTTTGTTTATTGGTTAAGTCCCAGGTGGGGAGCAAATAGTTTATCCACTGACCGTTCCTGTTACAGTCTGGTTTCTTCACTATTTAAAATCATTCAAGTCATGAGCTGAAAAAGGATTGTAGTGTAACAATTAAGAATGCCAGCACTGAAGGCAGACTGCCTAGGTTTATACCTCTTCTCTCCCACTTCCTAGCTTGCTAACACTGGCGTGTTACTAACCCTCTCTTGTGTCTTGTATGGGAAAAACACCTCACAAACTGGTAAGATCACGGAATGCTCCAGTGTGATTACCACAGAGAAAACAACCTTTATCACCATGCTGCGACCTCACAACTTAGTTCGCGTACAGCCGAGAGAGACTGGTCACGTTACAGTAGTCACTAGGTTTACAGTAATAGGCAAGTAAACACAGAGCCACAGCAGAGAGAAGAGAAAGTTGGGTTTATTGTTTCTGACAATGGCATATAGTAACTTTGTTCCTAGCATCACAAATCTGAAAAACAATTTTTCTCAATTAAAAACATATACTCTGAAGAGCACTAGGTAGTTTTTAAAAATGCATCATCATTAATAGAATATATTAAATATCTTGGCAGGCAAGATACCATCTTTACCTTTATAAATCTCTACATAAAATGAAAAAAACAAGGCAAGGAATCACATTTTCTGCTGTTCTACATTTTTAAATACCATCCTTTGTTTCTTTTAAAAAGATTTTCATCCATTCATTAAAAAACATTTTTAAGCGCAACTGCCCATTTAAGACAGAAAGAAGGAATCCTAGAGTATCTGAATTAAGCATTGTCTTGACTGAACTGAAGCAAGAACTCTATCAAGGTCCTCGTGGGCCTCCCAGTCATGCCCTTCCGCAGATACGGAACCTCGTCTTTGTTGGTCATCACGCCTGCTATGTCTAAATGGGCCCAGTGAGGATGAGTCACAAATTCTTTCAGGAACGCTGCAGCTGTACACGCTCCTGCAGATCTGAGAAGGAAGAAAAAAAATCATTATTTAACCTCATGTAAATATCCACTGGACATCTTAAGTTCTCCATTCTTGCTAAGTAGCTTCTATAAACAGAGGGCAATGCTTTATAAGGTAACCCGGAAACCACTTTGAGAATATTTATTTTCAGACATAGCTTTAAAGCAGTAAATGATAAATTCTAAATTCCTTTTTTTCTATGGCAATAATTTCCCATATTGTTCATCTCTTTCCTTTACCATTTGCTTGAAATGACCTTTAGATTCGAAAAATTTTGAGAACCAGTTGGGAAATACCTTGAAAATTAAAGATGCTAGAAATTAATGTTTACAAACACTACATCAAAAGGAAATTGGATAGTTACACTTTTTGTGAAAGGGGATAAAATTAAAAATCGTCATTTGGGAATCAATGATTATAAAAATGTACTTTTATGACTCATTTGGCATACCTATATTTTCCAATGTTGTTAACATCAGCCAGCTGGCAATCTACAACCTGTCTTGTGTAATGTTCAAAGAGAGGCATCCTCCAGACACGGTCCCCCGTTTCAATACTGGCCTAAAGAAGAAATAGAAGACTGGATGAAGTAAGTTCTGGGTAAACTCATGGCACTGAGGTGTTCAGTGCAGGAAGGAAAGAGCTGCTCTGACCTGTTACTCTAAAACATGAAACTCTACAACAGGTTCCATGATTATTTCAGCTGGTTAAAAGATTTACTTAAGAATTATAAAAGAAACCAAGAATGTTACAAGACAGTCCCACAAATCTGTAGGGCATTTGCTAAGATCATCAAACGTATGGTTATCTTTAAATTAGGAAGCAGGTTATAGTGCAGACTTGCAGATTTGATAGGGCTAGAGCAGTCTGTGATGACTGTCACCTCAGTGTGCTAGAGAAACATGTCTGGAACTGCACCACTGGGGACCAGATCCTAAAATAAGGTGACCTCATTCATTCACATAATCATTTAGACATTCATTCATCATGTACTGAATGTCTACAGAGCACCACCAGGTGGTGGGAATATAAAGAAATATAATATCTGAGCCATAAAAGGGCCCACAGCTAGTGGGAGAAACAGATTCATAAACATTGTTTTGCTATACTGTGGTCACAGGTAAGACCCAAAAGTGAGGAATTAGGAAGGAGTAATAGAAGCTGTTATTTGGGATGTGTATCAGATGAGCCAGAGGGGCTGAAAGTGGCTGCCTCCAGGAATAAAGACTAGACTATTGCAGACTGTTGACTGTTATTTAAATAATATTTATGCACATACAAATTTGGTTTTTTAAAGAAGCTTAAGTTAAAAAAAACAAACAACATTGTGGGTGCTGGGATCAAAAGGGACACCAAGTGTGTGACAGGCCGGAGGAGAGATCCCTCGCCTAGCCTGGAAGAAGGGCGCTGTGCACGGTTATCATACGGGTGGGGAGGACAGGTAAGTCTAAGATCTTAAACCACCGTCAGGAATGGATTCAGGGGCACTGTGTATTTGTTCCCCATTGGTACATAGTGGGCTCCCGCGAACTGTTGAGAAGAGGGAGGTGCTAGGGAGCCGTCTTGAAGCCAAGCAGATACACAGGGTCTGCAGCTCAGGAGAGGGACGGGAGTAACCAGCAGGAAGGTGCTAGCCGAAGCCACTGGCATGGAGGAGCTTCCCATGAGGACTGCGAGGAGTAGGGAGAGCATGTGCCCGGGACTGAACACCTGCCAAAGGGGTTGACAGACAAAAAGCTGGCCAAGGTCAGAAGTCAGAGAAGGCAGCCAGAGAGATTATCACAGAAGCCAAGAGAAGGGTGTCCCCAAGAGGTCAGAGTTACATCTGCCTCTTGACAGGCGGTGAGGCAACTGAGTGATGGCCATGAAATCACTGGCTGGGGGTGGGGAGCCAGTGACAGGAGACAGCAGTTCGGGAAAGGCTGGCTGGCTGTGCCAGGGCACAGAGGAGGCAAAGCACAGCTGCGGGAAGACATCCTCATCACAGCCCACTGGCGGACCAGGCCAAGCCCTATTTACTCATGACACGGTCATGCAAGGCCATTCCTTCCTCACAGCCTTTTCTACCTCAGGGATTGTACCCTATGGCTGTGGTGTTTGTAAGTCACTTTCACATCATTTTGAGCCACTGGAAGAGAGGAGGAATGTGGTATCATACCCACAATTTTGGGACACTCACAGAAAACCCAAAGCACACTGAATTAAGTATATTGTGTTTCCAATTCAGTCACCCTACAACATAAAAATCACTTTAACATAGTGGTTAAATAAATACATAGTTTCAAGGTGAGGATAATTTAATCATCTCCATAGTTTAGGTCTTTATGAATTATCCTACCTCAAAGAGTTTGTTCCACAGCCAGGATGAATTGGTAAAGACCCCAGTGGCACCAGACCCCAAAGCTACGTCCATAGCACCTGCAACACACAAGCCCTCAAGTCAGGGTTCAGCCTCTTCTGGCACTAGGTTTCTCTGCTACACAGACCAAAACTTTAGCCTTTAGCTCTATTTTAAGTCTCCCACATTTTCAAAAACATATATGCTTAGGAAATCCTTACTGTACGTATTTAACATCTTTCTAGTTTCTCAACTAGAACTCACCTTCTATGAAAAATGCAAAAAAAGGAACATAAATACCACTGGCAACTTCATTCTAGGTATAACCATTATGTATTTTCAACATTTCCTTCCAGATTTTTTTCTAAAGTCAAAACACAAGACCATACTGTATATGTGTTCTTCCTTTTACGCTTTAAACATTTATTATGCTTTTATAAAGACAAAAGTTTGTAATTACTTTTATTGATTTTAAAAGTCCGCTGGGTAGAGATACCATAATTTATTATTATTTACAGACATTTAGGCATCTCTAATTTTTCAGTATTTTTAATTACATCTCAGTAAGTATCTGCTGTGAGAGTTGATGCCTTTTTAAAAAATTGTATTATTTTATCATATTTATCTGTTTCATCTTCACTTCCTTCTCCAACAGTTACATCCCATTGGCTTTCTCTTTTCAATATATTTTTAAAAATTCAGATTCACACAGATTCTCTTGGGCACATGTTCCCGAGTGTCAACTGCAATTAGGTGCCACAGCTCAGTGCTGTCTTCTTTGGTCCCAGTTTTGAAGCCAACTGAAGATACTGTTATATTCATCTTTAACACACACACACATCCACAAGTCAACAACCACACACCAATTCACCAGCCCAACGAGCCTGCCAGCGTCAACTCTGGCCCTTCGCCAGCACACTCTGCACACCGCTGGCCAGGGGCTGCTTCACAGGGCAAGTGTGACCGTATCGTCCCCACGCCTAACACTCCTCAGGAGCTTCCTGGTGCTCTTCACTCACGACAAAACCCTGTAACAGACCACGACCAGCCAGGTCTGGTGTCCATCAGCATGTGGGCCTCTCTGCCCCCACCCCAGGCACTGCGCTCTTCTCCGACTCATCCACCTCACCTCTTGCGTGCCCTCCACTGGCATGCTCTTCCTTCCCTCCCCACCCAGGGATGCCCCCTCCTTCAGATCCCAGCTCAGGAGACACTGGCAAGTGCCCAACTGCACAGGCTCTCACGGACTCCTTTTAACTCTACTTCTCTGTTTGTCACCTGCACCTTTAAGGCTGCCAGGGGGTGGGTCTGCTGACTGTCACTCTGCACTAGATTGCAGGCTCACGTCTGTTCTCACCCACCTCCATGTTCCCAGCCATTAGCAGGAATTAAACACATTGTATTTGGTGCCCACTACATAGCAGATGTATACCGCAGGACACATACACCACTACGTACTACGAACAGGTGCTGGTTATTCACCGCCTATGGTCCACCTCCATGACTCTGGTAGAGATGGGGGTTGTCACAGCTTGACTTAAGTGTACACACTCATGAATGCTTTACTTTTCAAATTAGTATTGGAAAAACTTGTTCACTTGTCCTCAAAACATTGCTATCAACCCTGTAAGAGTATTGCATGAGTACTTAAACCTCGTAAAAAAGATGAGCACGAACGTCAAACAAGAATGTGATACCCTCTTAAAGGAATAGAAAATGAGACATTAATATTTAATGTGATCCAGCTGAGATCAAGACTCTAAAGAGTCTTTCATTTCATACTTTAGAAAACAGTTCATTTTCTATGTAATTACAGAACTAGTACCACCACCAATTTCAGAATTTCCAGTAGCAGAGGCACACTTTCTATTTTCTTTTAAAGGCACGTTTGGAGTCATATGTTGAGTGCTAAGTAATCAGTGCTACCAGAATTGCTCACAATCTCGCAGAAGCATCAAAGTCCCGAGGACGGTGCTGACGTCACCACTCTCATTCCTTCCTAAACCACGTCCACGCGTTAAGAAAATGCAGAGCGGCAGCAGGACTCACCGGCCACCCCTGAACATGCCACTGCTCCTACCCTCAGGATGGCTGTGGGGCCAACTCTCCCACTCCTCAAACCCTCCAACTGGTGGGGGGACAGGGTGGAGGTCTGTGATGCCTCATCTACAGACAGGGTGTGCTCCACCCACCTCACCACTGCCCTCAAACCCTGGCCTTAACACCTCTGCCATTCAGCTTAACGTGTCTGCAAAACTGAAGAGGGAGACAAAGGACCATGAAAATGCCCCAATGCTAACTTAAAAAGGACTCAGCAAGTCAATGTGTGCACTACTGTTAGACCCACGTGAAAGGGAAATATGAACTGATTTCTGCTAAAGTAAAGGCTCACATGACCAGGGGAAGAATAAAAACCCAAGAATAAAAACATAATCTGAAATTTAACTTGAGAAGAGGCAGAATGAATCCCTAGAAGGAAAACTGATGGACAGAAGATTACGAACACTGGGTTTTACAATGAGGCAGTGGCCGCTGCCATCCCTTTAGGAATGTACCCGTTTACCCTGCAGAGCTGGCGGGGTTACGGCCTGCTTTCACCCAACGCCTGCCACGCGGTGGTGCCATGTTCACAGGCTCTCCAAAGACTCCCCCAGTCTTACAAGTCTGAGAGGCATACAACACGTGTCCCTGCGTAGAGACGCTGCAGGGCGTCAGGTAACTTTCCCCGAGACCGACTAACTCGCAGGTGGCGTGACTGGAAGACATCCTGGGTTGGCCTGAAAGCTCACGCTTCATGCCACATGTCACTGCCTGCCTCTGTTAAATGAGCATCTTGTTAACCACCCCTAAATGTCTTTATTTCTTTATAACATCAAGTACAAAGAGTTCAGAAACCTGAGTGGGCATCAGATACATTATGACTGATAAAAAACACTACTGATTTTAGGATTTATCCCTAATCTTTTCAGATCTGTTTCAAATAGCAATCATACCAGCAAACATGTCTTACTGTCATTTTTAGATGTCACTCTGGATGGGCTACGCTGACCCACTTGTTATTTCTTTTTTTAGGGCACAGCTGGAATGCCTTAAAATAACAATCCTATTATTCAAAACAGTTACAAATCCAGAACAATTTCTTGGTGAAAGATCTTTGAACGAAAACAGAGAAGCCAAATTTCAGCAGAATGATGTCCTGAATACAATGTGTGCATTCTAAACCAATACGTAAGACTTTCTTCAAACAAAGGAGGAAAAGCATGCTGTCTGACCTGTTAGGGTGGCGGCGTTGATGATGATCTTCGGGTCAAAGGTGTGCGCGTAACAGAGCGCATCAGCCAGTACGAGCCTCCCCTCGGCGTCCGTGTTATCAACCTGCAAAGAGGATGGTCAAAAACACAAGACAAGACAATGGAAGTAATGAATATCAAAACTAGATATTCACAACAACGCCCAATTTAAAAGTGAGAAAAAGCTAGTGTGACGTTTGTCATTAAGCATCAAGAACATACTTGTACCTCAACTAGAATAGGAATATATTTAATCTGAAGAGAAAATATAATTTAATAATCCCTGTACCAGAGCTGATGACCAAATGGCCATGACTTTGGAAGCATTTGAAATAAAAAGAAAATGGTCCATTTTATCAACAAGTTGGTAACGAGGGGAAAACATTTCAAGATTTCTGAAAATAAATAGGCTAAAGAGTTTAAGAAAGTTACAGCGGAGTGGCAGCCTGGACTTCCAGACATAAGAACTCTTGCAACTTCAGCAATGTTATATATATTACATATATTACACTCCTCTTAGACAGAAGCCCAATAGTTGTGGCAGCACGTGTGCCACATCCCCCGGAGTGGAGAGTCCCTGACTCAGGACGGTGTTTTCCACCTCAAAACCTAAATGGAGAAAGTTAACATGGCACAGGTATACCCAGAAAATAGCCCATATTTTTCCTGCTTTGCCCTGCTACACAGGCTGGCCGCAAATTCGTGGTAATTTGTGTGTATGATATACGGGAAGCAGGAGGACCAATAAAATAGAAAAGCATTTTTAAATTCCTGTGGAGAAATAAACTTGACTTTGTATGAAATGCTACTTGCAATAAATTCACTGCCCTCCCCTCCAATGAGCCTGCACTGTGTACCCATTCACGGTATGTTTAGGAGGCTGCTCGAGATTCCTTTAGAAACACCAGGAAGGGTAGGGCTGTGTCTTCCATTTACAAACCTGTATGGTCTTCCCGTTCTTGGCTTTAACAACATCCCCAGGCTTGTTAGCCTTACCGCTGGGCATATTTTCACAAAGAGGGGTCAAACCTATTAGAAAAGAGTACATGAAAGAACCTGGAATGTGCCGGGCCCACCCACAGGACCAAGGCCACTGGTGGCCCATCAGAAGCATGCCACAGACACCACCTTAACCAAGTGATCACATTTAGCATCATCCATGACCCAGCTGACATTACGTGTATCACAATCAAAAGTACATGTCACCCATGTGGCATTCTTACCAAAAAGTCTGATCCGATTCTATCATGAAGAAACAACCAAATAAATATAAGTCATAGAACTTCACAAGACAAGCTGGGATACAAGACAAAAATGTCATGAAAGAAAAAAAAAAGATAGGAATAGTGTTCTAAGTTAAAGAAAACTAAAGAGACGTGGCAACCATGTGATGTATGATCCTTAATTAGCTCCTAGATTTCAAAAATACAAATAAATATGCATGTGTATTGGTATACATGCACACACGTGTTAAATGATTAATTTTCAAACAACTGGGAAGTTTGAATTGGATTACTCTATCAACCCTTGGCAACAAAGGGATTGTCTTTACACAGAATGTCCTTGTTCTCAGAAGACACATGCTGAAGTAGTCAAGGGTGACAGGTCATGTGCACAACTTACTTTCAAATAGTTCAGCAAAAGAGGACTATGGTATTAAGGGGCCTGGGGTGCCAATGTCAGACCTGGACTCCAAGTCTACCTTCCTGTGGATGTGACACTGGGCAAGTCATTTAACCTAAGTCTCTCCCACCCCAATACTCCTCTGAGATGTGGCAGACTCCCAGCATTGTGTCTGGCATGATGAGCTCCAGAAAGAGCTGCCAAACACTGAGGACTTCTGTGCAGGCACTGTCTGTCTATTGCACCATTTCACTGGCCGCAACCCCTCTGAGGCAATGACTAATTGAACTGGCAATGCCTTTCACCCTGACCACTGAGCATTTTTCACTGGAGTCAATTACAAACCCTGCATCATGTGCCCATGACTGTCAACCACTTTTTGCAGAAATAAAACAAATCAATTCTAGCTACAGCCTATGGTTGCAAAACACATTTAACTCCATCAGTACAGACAAGAAAACCTCAGCTAAACAGCTTCTGATCTTTTCAAGTTTGAGGACACCATGTTGTTGTTTCAATTCTACCATTTGCCTGGCTTCCAAGATAAACTCTGCTGCCCACTCACCGATGACGTTAATGGGCAGACTGAGCTTGGCGGCAGACACAATGGTTGAACAGATAGTGGCTGCTCCTCCCATGTCGGCCCTCATGAGGTCCATATTTGCAGAAGGCTTGATGGAGATGCCGCCACTGTGGGGAAAAGGACAACGTCCAATACTGACAGTAAGGAAGAGGTCAAAATCATTTTCTTAAAAAAGAATAGATAAGTTGAGGGCTAACTACTGCATAAAAGCACCACCTATCCTACAGAGGACTCAATTTTCCAAACCGAGAAAATTGAAAGATTTTAACATTTTAAAGATGATACTGCAGTCTCTACACCCACATAGGTTTGTCTTTTCAGTAGGTTTTATGAATTGATCAACTTACTGAAACTGAAAGGTACAAACTGTTAAACAAAGCTGACAAGCTCAAAAAAGACTGGGAAGGTCCCTCTCAACCCCCAGAAGGACAGACAGAGAACAATTCCCTCCGAAACCCACAAGGTATGTGAGATTCTGCTGATGGCCGAATACAGCCTCAGTCAGGCGGGGCTCAGGCAGGCGCTGACCCAGAGCCTTGGAGAGGTGCTCAACCAGGCCAGCTGGGAAGGGTTTCGATTAGCAAGAACCCACACTCCCCCAAACCAGCTTCTCTAATTGACTAGGGCTTTTCTGCTTCCAGTTTCTAAGACTCCAAAAGCCACCTGCCCCGTAGGCTGGGCTCTGAGCAGGGGCTCTGAGGCAGAGCCCTGAGGTCTTGGGCTGGCTCGCCGTGGAGACTGGAGTGTTTTCCCTGTGCTGATGCCTGCTCTCCCTGGAAACCAGGACCTAATTCTCATGTGCCTTAGGAGCACTTGATAATTGGATGGCTGTCATTTACACCTAGAATTAAAGATTCACTGGCTCAGAACATGAAAAGAAACACACTTCTGGTTCAGGAAGTCCCAGGATCACACAATTGGGGGCAGAGGGAGCAGGCCAGTGCAGGAGACCGCTCTGTCCACTCACCACCTCTGTCTCAAGGCTGCTTCTGTGCTGCAGCCCCACTCTCCACCCAGTGGACCACAGTTCTACAGTGACCACCAAAGACCAGTGGTGATCCCTGCTCACCTTTAGACCTCTCTCAAACCCACCCATTTTTTTTCTACTGTAACCATCCTACTGAGGCTGCCACCATCTCTCATCAGGATGTTTGCCATGGCTCCTAAATATCAGGGTTACCCCCTTCATTTCATTACCCCCCCCCATTACCAAGTTTTTACCAAAATAAACAATATCACTACCAAAATCCCAGTAGGCTTTGCATGTGGGTACAGAAAGTGGCAAGCAGGTTCTAAAATTGATATGCAAATGCAAAGGATGCAGCCAAAGTACTTTTGGAAAAACCAAGCAAAGCTGGAGGACTCATATTACTATATTTCAAAACAAAGCTGTGCTTCATCACCAGGCCCTGGTGAAGGACATAAGGGTCTAGAGACAGACTCACATTTATAAGTTCAACTGATTTAACAATGGTGCCAGGGAGGTCAGTGGGGAAAGGAGTCTTTCCAACAAATAGTTTTGAAAGAAATGGATATCCACATAAAAACAAAGAAAAAGAAAAGAAAAACAAAGCTCTGTGCTTTTCACAGCAAACACAAAAATGCAAAATGGATCACAGCCTTATAAGTTAAAACCATTACCATTTATAGAAGAAAATACAGGCATTGACATAGGCAGTAATTTCTTAAACAGGACCAGAAAAGCATATAAAAGGACCAAAAGAGCTATAAAATAAAAAACTGATCAATTAAATTTTATCAAAATAAAAAACTGCTCTTTTAAAGATGCCACGTAAAACAAAGAAAGGCAAGCCTCAAAATGAGAAGAAAATATTTTCAATACATTTATCTGACAAAGGACATGTTCCTAGGATATATTTTTAAAAACTTCTAACACAGTAAGACAAACACTCCTATAAAAAAGGGCAAAAGATTTTACCAGACACTTCACTAAAGATATACCAATGGCCAAAAAGCACATTAAGAAAACACTAAACATTGTTAGTCATTAGAGAAATGCAAAATAAACCTCAAAAAGATACCACTACACACTGACTGGGATGGCTGGGATTAGAAAGACTGACAATATCAACTGTTGAGGAGGATGTAGAACAATTAGAATCCTTGTACCTCGATGGTGGGAATGCAAAATGTTATAACCATTTGGAGAAGTTCAGTAATTCCTTATAAAGTTAAACATGCAGTTCTTATATAAGTCAGCCTCTCCTTTCCTAAGACAGCTACCCAAGAGAAAGATAAACATAACCATCCACACAAAGGCTTGTAGATGATCTTGGCTTTATTAATAAAGCAACTGAAAAGAACCCAAAGGTCCACCAAGAGATGAATGGGTAAACAAATTTTGTTATTTCTACACAGTGGACTACTAATACTCAGTGACAGAAAGGAACACATGTCTGATGGGTAAATCTCAAAGTTATTATGATGAGACAAAGAAGCCACGAGTCAAAGATTCCATATATGTATTTCTACAACAGGCAAATCGAGTCTACAGTAACAAAAAGATGACTGTGGTCTCCCGCAAGGGTGGGGAAGGGTGACTACAAGAAGGCCCAAAGGAGCTTCTGGGGTGGGGGTTGGGGGGTGAGAGGAGTGGTCTATTTTCATGATAATGGTGGTTGCTGCATGGATACACACAGTTGTTAATGCTCACTGACTTGAACACTTAAAGGGAGAATTTCACTGTACCTATAAATCCCATGTCATTCTTTCCCTTTGCTAGAAACCCTGCAGTTACTCCCAACTGTTCTTAGAGCAAAGTCCAAAATCCAACTGGACCCAGCACACCCTGGCATCTGCCTACCTCTCCAGCCGCTCTGGTACTCTTCAGTTCCAGAATTCCCCCAGCAACCCTCCCCACCCCTTTCCTTGTCCTTCTCCCTGCTGAACGAATGCCTCCTTATCCTTATCTTTCTCTCTCCTTCAGGGAAGCTTTCTCTAAACCCAAAGACCAGCTCAGGCTTCCTTGCTAAATATTCTCCTAAAAAATTTAAGTCTGGGTTTAAATAACAATAGATATCATGCTGAGTATAAATGCTGCATTGAGATATTAGCCCAAGACAGTATAAAACCATCACAATTAGCAAGACATTTAAAAACAGATTCATTTTCATTATCTAATCTTTATTTGCTACAGTGTTTCCTAAAACACACTTAAGTACAATGGCATAATGCATGCAACTTACACACACAAAAAATGCATATTTTGAATGGTATGAGCTTGTAACTTTTACCAATGAGCTACCTTACAAAGATTGTTTTGAGACCAATACTTTAAAGGAGAGAAGGTGACCAGTGGGTGGAAGACGCAGGAGACATTACTAACTGCTACTATGAGCAATACCACCCTGGCAGCCAGCTCTGCTCAGGACAAAGGCAGCACAATGCCTAGAAGCACTCTTGTGAGGGCTGGAGTCACACACACTTCCATGGACCATGGTTCTTTCCATGGACCATGATTCCTGTAAGATACAAATTTCTTTCAAAAGGAAATTTAGAAAAGGTCACATTCTGTACCCTGAGAAGTACTACAGTTAAAAAACAGACCAAAAAAAAAAAAAAACAACCAAAAAAAGATTTCTCTAACCTAGCCTAGTGGTCAAATAATCCTTTTTAAGTCTCACACTTAATTACCATTCCTGAAACTAGTATTCAGGAGCAGACACTTCCATGGGAAATACTGACTATACCTTCTTGCAACTCAGTTTCTTGAAATAAGCAAATAATAAGTTCTAAGGAATACTTACGGCTTAGTAAGGTTAATGGGAGCTAGACTGGTCAGCTACTAAGGTAATCTGAAGCAAACAAGGGAAGACAATACGATCCAACAGCTGTATCACCACTCGCCACATGGGGAATCTTTAATGTCCACATAGGAAAATGAAAGTGTATGATGGAAAGATTTTAAGACATTTTAAAGACAGGTCTGAGTTTGACTTCCAACTCTACTTATTAGTCATGGGGCTCTGAACCAATTATTTAACCTCTCCAAGTCACGGTTTCCTGCCCTCTAGAATGTCTGCAACGCCCAGCTCCTGGGGGTAAGAGCACAGTCAACACATGTAAGAAGCCCAACAGCATCTCTGACACACAGGAAACTTTTTATAAGTGGCAGCTTAATACATTTACAGTAATATGTAAGATTTGATCAAGTGTCATGCTTCTGAGGCAAACACCAAGTAATACAAGTGCACATAAACAGTTGCCCAAGTAGGACACACACAAGGTAAGAACGAACCTATCAAAGGTGATTCCCTTCCCAACGAACACCAGGGGTGGGTCACTCGCGTTGGGGCTGCCTTTGTAGTGAATTTCCAGGAAGACTGGAGGCTCATCGGACCCTTTGGCCACACTTAGGAATGATCCCATTTCCTGTTCTTCAATCCAAGACTTGGGTCTAACAAGGCAGAAAAGGGAAAAAGTAAATACACTTTGTTATCTCTTCCAGAAGCTCATCTATGTGTAAAACAGAGTAACAAGCTCTTAAAGTTATACCCACGTTAATGCTTCAATGATCGAGTTCTATTTGCTTTTGGTATATTCTCGGGCCAGGCTCACTTGATTCTGAGACTTTCTCATCTATAAAATGAGGTCAGTGATATACCTCCATTGAAAGGTCAGCTGAAGAGTTACTAAAGAATTCACTCATATATAAGGTATCAGGTAATAGTGCATCATCAATAAATATTTCTTGATTTTTCCCCCTAATCTACTCACATTTATCTAAAGTTTTAACATAAAGTTAGCAAGGCTCTGAGACCATAAGAGGTCTTTCAAGACAGTTAAGGGGTCCACTGTTTTTGTTATTTAGGTACTTCTAAAAAAGACAAAGAAAGAGCCACCCAACCAAATGACCAACAAACAAAAAAAACCAGCAAGGCCACACCCCACTGGCTGGACTGAAGTATCCTATTTCTGCTTTGTTAGAATTGCTGGAATTCAGTCTTTTCAATGTTGCACTATTGCTCACAGTTTCAACTGCAGTTTGAGATGTCTGACTGAAGGGAGTCGTTGCTAACACACACGGGACTGATGGGGGTGATTTAAAGGGAACAGTCGTTAGTGCCAACCCAAAAACAGATGCCACACCCCAAACCCTGAGGCCAGGGTACAAAACATCTACCTATGGATTTCCGGCCACAGTAACTGGGGCCAGGAGGGGAAACCCTACACTCCCTGGACAGAGACAACCACATCCCCAAAATGCTGCTCCTGCTCTCGCCCTTCCGTACATTTGGTAAAATTACAGAAAAGGGGTTATGTCATGGGGAGATGGCCACCAAACTTCAGAGGGAAAAGAACATAAGAACAGAAGGTCTGACAACAAAAAAATCGCTTCAAAAGCAGCAGGGCTGTAACATGGGTATTTAAGTCACAAACTCAGTACGTGATGTTTTATTAGAGGCCTGCCTTCTGGAAGTACCGCCTGTCTGCCTCTTTGACTCATGCCTGCCCACGCGAGAGTGGTTTGGCGCAGCTGCCTCTGTGTAAAGGGTGTGCCCCGCCCGCTGACCCACCTCCTTTCCGGGGAACCTTCCCTTTCCTGGACCACAAGCCTTTCAGCTTCCCAAGGGGCCAGTACGCACCCAGAATGCCCTGCCCCACTCTCTCCATGTGCTCACTTCCAACAACTGCTCAGATCTGCTGCGGTATATCCATCAGCAAACCTTCTCCTCCACCACCCTCCCTGCCCCTCTGCCCCTGCGGCAGCTCCGCGCACTGCACCTCCCTGCCTCTGCCCTCCAAGTAGGGCCTCCCTTCTTTGAAGACAAGGCCCACTGTCCTCCCTGTTGGACTGCCACATTTGTAGGTACACAGGGGTGCCCTCACTGACGTGTAACCACACAGCTCACACAAAGTAGCTCTGATCTCCTCAAATAAAACTACAGTCTTTGCCAAGTAACCTTTATAGAGCCTAAACATTGCTGCAAATTACATGTATGTGAACCATTCCAAAAATGTTCTTAAGCGATTTTTCTATAGGTTACACATTTGTCTTCACTCAGTTTAGACCATATGGGTTTTCTTGAGGGGGTGGCTGGAAGTGAACTGTAATCACGAATATTGAAGAATTTTTTAAAATGGAAGTCCCCTTGAGAAACAACTTTGATAATGAAGAATTATTTAGGCAAAGCAAGCATCTATTGATTTATTTTAATCAAAAATTACCAAATGCTCAGACTTGGTTTGTTTAAAGAGTTATGGGATGATCACAGGAGCATAACAACCTGGAAGGGCAGCTTTTTACGTCCACCAGCCCTGCTACCAGGCTCAGGATTACAGGGCAGAGATGCTATTCCAAGTCACAGCAGGCATGCTGTGTTCTTCACTTGTGTCAAGAAGAGGATAGGAAGAATTTGCCAAAACAAAACACAATTTATATAAGTTCCTCAAAAAGCTGAACAGTTACCACTTGATCCAACAATTTAATTCCAGGTACATCCCAAGACATGAATACCTACGTCCACTCAAAAACTTCAACACTAATACTCACAGTGACTTTACTCATGGTAACCAAAAGGTGGAAACAGTCCATCAACTGATGGCAGCGGGAGAAGGAGATGAGGAGGGCACCAGGTTTCTTTCTGGGGTAATGAAACTGCTCTAAAATTGATTGTGGTGATAGCAGCACAACTCCTAAATTTAGTAGATACCACTGAATTGCATAGTTGACATGGTATTTACATTATGAGGTTTGTGAACTCCATTTCAATAAAGCTGTTAGAAAACACACACACACACACACACACACACACCATGTGGTGTGAAGTCATAGCACCCTCTCAAAGGCAAGGGAAAATATGATGGAAAGAACCTCAAACTGAGCCCTTTTCTCAATTCGTGTGTGGCTGCTGGTGAGTTGTCTCACCTCCGGTCTTGAGTCACTCCTGAATAGTGAGGGAGCTGGATTTTAAGATCTCTAAGGCTCTTGGCTGTCATATCCCAAGTGTATGACATAATTCTGAATTACCTGATGTGGACATCTGTTTTACTACTAGCACTTTTGAGAGACTTCTCAATAATTTTGGCAAATCTGGTTGGCGTCATCTCGTTGGCTGGAGTCTCCATCAACTGGCGTGCCAAGTTCTGCCCGGAAGCAAAGAGGACTCCTTTCTGCCAGGCCTCCTGGTCCCCACTGGCAGAAGAAAGCACAGTGTCACTGTCAGACAAGCTCTCCGCCAACTGTGTTGCAGCTGGGAGGGACTCTTCCCTTATAGAAACAGAGGAAGACAACTAGTGACCAGCGCTGGACACCTGGAGCTTGGGCTCGCAGTCTGTGGGCGGGCCCAGGGCCGCCGATGGCAGAGTATACTGAGCAGATAAACATGGCCCCCGCCAAGCCAAGCCAGAGGAGCCCTGGACAGCACTCCACTGCAGATTCTGCACCTGAGTAAAAAGGGGTGGCCTGGTGGGTCCCTAAATCTATATCTACCACACAAACTGTTGGAAGAGTTTCAGAGCAGGGCCTGTTTTGTCCTCCTCCACTGCGTTAGGAGCCATGCGGCCCCAAGTGCTACCTGCAGAGTGAGCTTACTGCAATAATCCTGCTAGTGGAACTGAGGGCCTTTCCACCTTCTTTTGGCCTGGGCCAGGGCACTACTCAACCCACCAGAGGGCAGGGATCAGCTCTAAGAGGATATGTGCATGTTTCATGACCCTGGCTCTTCTTGCGCACAAGAGGAATTAATACAGGAGGCACAGAGACAGATGCAGCAGCTCATCATTTAGGGGGTGTGCCATGCACTGCGCCCTTGACAGGTGTGTCTTTTGGTCATCCTAAGAATCCTATGCAATTGGAATTACAACTCCACTAAGCAAATGAAGAAAATGGAGCACAGACAGATTCTGGTCACTTAACTGAAGCCACCCAGCCACTAAGTGGGGAGCCAGGATTCAAAGTCAGGCTCACTGGTCACAGAGCCCACATCAACTGCCAGGCCGTGCCAGGACCTGCACTGTCCTCACAGCACCATCTCCTGAAGATCTTGCGCTATCTTTGCTGACAGCAGGACTGTCTCCCAGAACCCAGAACAGAGCTGGGATATAGTAGGTGCTCAATAAATCTGCTGAAAGAAGAGTCTCCCCACTAGACCACTAAGGCAAAGACCACATCCCTTCATCTGTGTACCTCTGGCATTTAGCACAGTGCCAGCAGATGCTGGCTAAATGGAAATTACTGGACGGAAACCTGCTGGGACCTGTCTGTCACTGTGTTTCCTCCCTCTCAGGGAGCCAACTTGGTCTGGCTTCCTAGAAGCCAGCAAGCATGGAGGGGCCTATGGAATCATGGCGGGGACACGCGTGTGATGAAAGACAGGAGCAGAACGGGGAACGGTCATGATACTCTTAAAATGGCTAAGGCGACAGGGAGGTCACATGCAAGCCACATGGCAGTGCCTGAAACTGAGCAGCAGGCAGCTCATAGCCAAAGGGCCCTGCTGTCGGGATGCCGGGGAATGCCACCCCAGTTCGGGCTTTGGTCATCACCTCCCGTGCAGCTCCGCCGAGACAACCACCTTCTTCTTCTGCTTCAGGTCGTCGTACTCATAGAGACCAAGCACTGCTCCCTCCGCAGCCGCCTGGGCATCTCCACAGGGGTCCACCTCCACGGAAGAGATCTCTAGGTCCTGAATCTGCCTGCACCCCGCTTCAAAAGGATAAAAGGACAGAGGAACCAGAAAGGTGGGGTCAGTCAGAGACAACTCAAATAGCGGAAGGCAGAGGTGTGGTGTGGTGTGCTGAGAAAACAAGAGCACTGGGGTCAGCTCTGACTCTTGGCTTTTCTGAGGCCCCGCTCCCCTTCTACAGGTGGCGGGAGGACAGACTGGATGAAACGGCTGATCTAGCTCCTCAGAGGGTGGGCCCTCAGAGGGGGCCACCACTACTAGCATCACTTCTGAAACACCAGGATTTCCGGAGGAGGCTTCCCAGTCCCCAGGAGCTTACCAGATTAAAAAAAGCAGAAAAATGATGACAATGAAATTATACCCAAAGAGCTGAGTAATGTCCATTATTAACACCACATTTTATTAAGCTCACATCAGCAAAAACTCCCAAATAAAAGTTATGAAATCGTTATCCAATGATGAACTTTGAAAGCAAATTTAACAAGCATATATGATAAACACAGGGCCAAAGATCAAGGAAGCTAATCATCACGGCCTCAGCAATGTCTTTTGTAACACCTGTAACCACAGCCTCTGTGGTGACGGCCTCATCCTCCTGCTCTGCTCGGGAGTGACTCAGTAGCATCTGCCTCAACTATTAAACCATTCATATGACCAACACGTACCTTTGGTAATAGTGTAAACAGGCACCCTGCACTCTGTAAACATTTTCCGATTTGTAAATAAGGTGGTTCCATGTCTTTAAAAGCTGGGCAACCCCAGGTTTGCATTACAAAAAGGAAAAAATTCAGACACCTTAACTTCCTGGTAAAATGGAGCTCTAAGGTCAACACTACAAGAGTGAACAAATAGTCATGAAACCTCCCAATACAAACCAGAGAAACACCAAAAGTGAAATTCCCTCAGCTAACCTCCTGTATCTAATATAAGGCCAAGTATACTGGGTGCGGGAAAATGAGTATTTGCTCAGATGAGTTATTTCTCCGTGAACGTGGTAGGGGTGTTGGGGATAAGAGGACAAAAAGAGAGGAAGAGAGAGAATCTCAAAGAGCAGATCCCTAAGAATCTTAATCAACATTAAACTTCAAGGTTAAATAACCTGCCACAGCAGCTCTGATGTTCTCTTTGCCTTCGTGCCAGTTTTCCTGGTCATCAATTCCAGCTGCCTTTTTGCCAAGGCCGACCACCACCACGCTGGGAAAGTCCTGTGCCACAAACACACAAAATCGATCATTTGATGCCTTTAGGCATGCCTTTCCAGCAGCCACCTACAACTCAGCACACAGGTGAAATGTGGGTATTGTTTTGTTTTTTAAAGCCTTTATTTTGGTAAAATTTTGTAACTTGTATAATTGAACAGTACAGTGATGATAACCCTGCAAATAATTCTACTATGTAAAATAGTGCCACAACTATGGCAACTGAACAAAGAGTGCCTACGGATTGAGGAATACACGAGATGCAGTACTTTCTAAGAGCAATTCACCTCTCTACAATCTTAAATACCACCTATGGCTTAATACTGGAATAAAACTCTACATACAACCTGACACAAAACTTTGTGCACAACTATGAAGCCACAGTACTTGGCACATAGCAGGTGCTCACTGGGGTTTGCCAAATAAACCTTATCTTCATCTCATACCTCATGCAGACCATAAAAGATTCGGGTTTTGCCTGCCTTCAGAGGTGGTCCAGATCTAAAACCAGAGAAAATAGTTGTTTTAAAAATTACAATTGGCCCTGCTCCCTGGGGAAGTGACACGCGTATACCTTTAGCATTATTACAATACTCTGCTGTTTCTGTGAATCTGCTGCTTTTGTGTTTTTATCAAAATACAGAATTCTTTCAGGCTAGATTTTTTCAGACACAGCACTTCTAATTCTAGCTCAAAAACTATTTAGCAGACTTCCAGGTTAAATATAAACTTATTTGAAAACAACAATGCAAAGTAGTGCCAGTGATGCTGGGTAACGTGAGGCTGCAGAGGGGAGCGGAGCATGGGATGCAGGCTGACTTCAACCTTAACTCTTTCTAGTAAAGGATACCAGACCCCAGCCTAAGTGGCTGACCTGACTGGACGTTATTTGTGGGGGCCTCATCTACAGGTGGGCAATTTCTAACAAAGGACTGGCTGCCTTGGTGCTGCGTGGATAGTTCTGCATCAGGCAGGCCAGGTGGCTCTGTACTCTAACCGGTTAGCTCTTGGACTAATGAATTAATCAAGGTACTTCAGAGGACTAATGAATTAATCAAGGTACTTCAGAGGACTAATGAATTAATCAAGGTACTTCAGAAGACTGCCTACAGGTAAAGGTCTGGTAATTGAGGGAGGATGCAAATTCTGTTCCCCAGTGATTAGATAACTACTATAACTATTAGACTACATGTATTAGATTCTAATAGATTATCTAAAGCAGAATAATATGCAGTTGCACAGGCTTATGTTGACTCTTCTACTTCTCCATAATGTGGCCCGAGGCTCACAAGGACTTGGAAACTAATGTTTCCCTACCTTCTCTCCTTCTCTAGACCCTGACTAATCTAAGAGTGCAGTCAGAATCACAGTCCCCTAACTGCATCCGAACCTGCATTCTAACTATTCTGTGTGCCAGGATTTGAGAAACCCTTCAAACTCAAGACCTGCAGTGAGAGGAGCAGCCCCTTTAGGCTGTTTTGAATTATCCAGGGACACACTGACCCACATAAATAAAAGCATTCCCTTAAATACAGGGTATTTTATGCCCAAGATAAGGGCATAAAAGGAGGTAGAGGCTGGTGGGAAGGCCAGGCAGGTAGGATGAGGGTGGAGAGAAATGAATTGGAGCCAGGAGGGGGACTCAAGAAATCCGGTGCTTCCCAGATCCTTCTGGCTCAGTCTCTCACAGTGATTTGTTTGAAGTGGCCTGACTTCCCAGAATTGCAGACCCATTCATTCTGAAACACAGAGTACCAAACTGCATTCCATAGACACATACTTTCACTTTCACTGGGAAGACACTGGCCACTGAACTTCCATGCATTTTCATCTACTAACAACAAAGCACAGAAAAATATATTTAAAAAACTGGAATCAGTAAATACTTGCATGTTCAAAGTTTTTCTCAGCTTTCCAGACACCAATTTATCAAAATTCTCTCCTGCACTTGTGAACTGTGGAACATCATCTGCTTTTTCTTTGGAATAGATTCCTAAAACAAGGCCCTGAGAAGCATTCCCTTAAATACAGGGTATTTTATGCCCAAGATAAGGGCATAAAAGGAGGTAGAGGCTGGTGGGAAGGCCAGGCAGGTAGGATGAGGGTGGAGAGAAATGAATTGGAGCCAGGAGGGGGACTCAAGAAATCCGGTGCTTCCCAGATCCTTCTGGCTCAGTCTCTCACAGTGATTTGTTTGAAGTGGCCTGACTTCCCAGAATTGCAGACCCATTCATTCTGAAACACAGAGTACCAAACTGCATTCCATAGACACATACTTTCACTTTCACTGGGAAGACACTGGCCACTGAACTTCCATGCATTTTCATCTACTAACAACAAAGCACAGAAAAATATATTTAAAAAACTGGAATCAGTAAATACTTGCATGTTCAAAGTTTTTCTCAGCTTTCCAGACACCAATTTATCAAAATTCTCTCCTGCACTTGTGAACTGTGGAACATCATCTGCTTTTTCTTTGGAATAGATTCCTAAAACAAGGCCCTGAGAAAGCAAAAACAAGAATATACTTAGAGCAGATCTTTTAGAAGGTCTCCTGTCTGCAAATTCCAGGAGAACACAATTCCACCCAAACCATGTTCCCGTCACAGACAGAACAAAAAAACCAAAACCGAAGAAGGTGCTCAGCGGTCAGCTGCCCCCAGATCCTGCCTAATTGTTTCAAATTCCTGCCAAAGCCAAGACTGCAATTACTACCTGTCCTGGGTCTTCATGATCCCCTCCAAGAAAGGGCTTCCTTCACTTTTAAATAAAGAGGAGCAGAAAGGTGTTTTACGTAGGCAAACAAATCCATTTTCAATCAAATTAGAAAGGGTTCAGAACATGCCACCCCAATATGCTGCTCTGGCATATTGGTTATTTTGAGCTCAAGGTGCTTGAGAAAGCAGGTGCAAGAAAGGCTCTCTCATCTCCCACTTTCTACCTAAAAGCAGGTCAAAAAATTTCCTATGAGAAAGGAAGAGACAATATTCTCGTCACCAGACTGGAAGCTGACACCAAAATGAACTCCTATGAAGAAACCTACTACAATAACCCTTTTCTTCCATTAGTTTCCCCCACATATTTCCTCGTCACTGCCTCACAACTTACTGCCCCTAGCCCAAGCCCCTCTGTCTTGTCACATCCCCACAATTTCTCATTTTGTTTAAAAAGGTACATAAGTTTTGGAACCTGAAGGTTTTGTGGGGTGGGAGGAGGGAGGTCTTCATTTTCCTTTTGAAGAGTCCCACATGCATGTATCTGCTGTTAATCTTTTATATCCCTTTAACTCTCAGGCCCAGCCACAGAACCTAGAAAAGCAGAAGTTTTTCCTGCCTGACAAGCTGCAAATGAAAATCTTAGATATTCTGGGATGATATCCCAGCAAAACCAATGACTGCACTTGCCGATACTAACAAGAACTCTGGTCAGCTCCGACTGAGAGAGAGAAAAAGGATGCAACGTCCCAGAGGAGCAGAGCATTCTACCCAGCATCGAGAGGCTTACCCCTTCAGGCCTCAGACAACCGAAATAAGGAAGTAAATCTAGGAATCACTATTTGATTTACATGGCAATTTATTACTTTAAACTTGTTTTCTGCCTTATGGCAACTCTGTGAGGTGGAAAGAACATGTAGTCATTTTCCCAACTGATAGATAAGGAAACGGACACCTGGTCTGACTTACTGAGCCTCGTCTGACTTACCAGTACATGTAACAGAACTGAGAGTCCTGACCCCTCCCTCAGTCCTTTGTCTTTTCCAAAAAGTGACACGGGTCCTTACAGCCAAGAGTGTCCCTTCTATCTTTTCTATCAAAGACAACAGGCTTCCTTGTAATTGGTAACTTTTCTAGGCTAACTGTGCTAAGACCGCCCATTGCCTGGGAATCCCTGGACCCAAGTGGGAAGGGAAACAGACGGCTGCTACCTGGAAAGGATGCGGATCGGCACAGCACTGTTAAGGGCACGGGGACAGCCGTCTGATCCCTGAGACAAGCCGCAACAACATTCCTGGCCGGGGCCAGTCATTTCTTTCTGGTCCTCAGGCGTGATTCCCAAACTTGTGATCCTTCCACAAAGCTATTCCCCCTTCCAAGTCCTCCACATCCCAATCATGACCTTCTTCATAATTTTTTGGAGCTCAATTAGGTGGAGAAGCCTTTTCTTCCGCAAGACACTCTCCTTTTAATTTCACGAGGAGATGGGCCTCGGTGCACAGTCCTTTTCCCTAGAGAGGCATTCTTCTTCTCGAGAATCCCTCTCGGGCATTTACTCCTGGAGGACCTGTGTTTTCCGGGCCTTCCCTTTCAGCTGGGGAGGGAGGGGCGGGAGGAGTCCGGGCCGTGAGTGGCCGCCTCTGGGACCTTCACCTCGCAAGGCCCGGGCTCCCTCCTAGCCGCGGCGGGGGCAGTACCGGCACCGTCCCGTCGTGGGTTTGTCTGAGGACTAAACGCAACAGTGACACAAGGGCCTGGCGCAGAGTGGGAGCGCAGGAAACGTCAGCTCCAGCTGATTTTTCTGTGTTGCCCAGTTCGGGTCCCAGCACCTCCAGACAGGAGGAGGGACAGCGCACCACCGGCAAGCAGCCGGCTGGAGGATGCTCGGGGATCCGCGGCCCGCGCCCCCACCACTGCCCAGGCTGGGGACTCTCCTTTTGAGCCGTTTTCCCCGAACTGGCGCCCGCCCGCCCCGAAGCCCCCGTCGCCCGCGGGGAGGACTCCTGCGGCTGGCTCCCAGGCCTCTCACCTTCGTCATGCTTGCGGTAGAGAGACCCTGTCCCCAGAAGCGCTTCGCGTTCAGCCGTCGGACAGCGAATCGCCCCGCAGCCGGAAGAGGCAGCAAGAACATCTTCTCGGCTCGGCCCCCTGCACCGCCTTCCCCGAGCACGTGGCGCCTGGAGGGCGGGCGCGTGCCTGGTGGCCAAGGTTTCGGGGGCAGCGCGCGCGCGCCTTGGGGCGGGGCTTTTGGGGGTAGGCCGGCGCGCGCAGGAGGGCTAGGGCGCCAGAGAGCGTGCGTCCCCCGGGGGCGGGACGGGCGGGAGCGCGCGCAGGCGGAAGGGGAGCCGCTCGGTTGGACGCGCGGCTGAGGGCTCCGGGGCGGGCCAGTCCGCGCGTGCACGTGCCGGCCCGAGGAAAGGGGCGGGGCCCTTGACTAAGCTCTCGGAGGGGGGCGGAGTCGCGGTCGTGACGTACAAGGGGGCGGGGATGGGGGCGGTCCGCCCGGAAACTGAGAAATAGGATACACGTGGCTCAACAGGGGTCTAACTGGATGGTGATGACGCTTCCGCTGAGTTATTTTGATTGTTATCCTGTTTTTGTAAAAAAATTTTGGACTTCCTTCTGGGCCAGGGGTGCATAGCTCTTGAGGCAGTTAGCCCAAATACTGCGTTTGAAATAGCTTTGCATACAGTGCTTAATATTTTAATTTTTCTTTTTTAAAAAGGGTTTTACATTTTTTTTGTAAAAAGATGGTTAAATGCAACTCAGAGAACATGGGGAAACACAAGGAAGGATACGAAAACCATGCTTGATGTTACACCAGTGTCTGATCCTAATTTTAGATGGATTTTTTAATTTTAACCCAGAGCCCCCTGTGTGGGTGGGTGTTTGGGTGTGTGCATGGAGGTGGCGGAGGAGGAGAGGGGATACATCAATTAAAATATGCTTCAAGGACCGCAGTATTTACATATTCATATGCTTAATGGTAGCAGTAAATTTCACAGCTTCCAAATAACTTGTGTCCTTATGGAACACTTCGGGATGTAAGATCTACTCATCTGTCAAACCGTAAGTGTACAGAGTGTTTACAAAGTTTTTCTGCTACAAACTGTGGGGTACAACAAGATAAAGGTGTCCATGGCCTCAAGGACTATTATTTAGTAAAGGCAAGATATGTCATGATGGTGAAGAGAGGAAAACAGTGTTTCATACAGTTACATGTGCATATGCTCCAGTTCCTTCTGCCCCCTTCTGTGCTTGACCAGGACTTTGGTCTGAAGCCATGTCCTGCAGAAGATCTTCACTGCTATTCCACGTCTAGGTTCTGTGCTCCGTCTCGGCTCCTGAAGCAGCCTTTCTCAAAGCGCTGACCTGTATTGTGTGCTCACTGTCTGTTTCCCCCAGGGACCTTGGGAGCCATGGCTTTCATCTTTGGATCTCCAGTACCTACATCTAGAGGCCAGACTGGCTGGCATATGCAAAGTATTCATAAAATAGTTGAATGGGTACATGATCAAGGCTTAATAGGTGTAACAGTGATAACTAAAGAATAGCATAGGTCCCACTTGTGGTCTTCAGATAGTAAATACAAAAACAAGAAAAGCTTGAAATGAACCGGTAGAGTGAGAAGGATACAAATGTCTGAGGATGACATCAAGATGTGGAGGAGTGTGTGGGAGGGTGTTGGCTTGGCTTGGGGTCTAGGGATCAGGTCTGCCTGGAATAAAAGTTGGTTATAAAAGAGAGTGATGCTAGATTAAAGTGAATCATGAAAAGCAGGAAGAGTTTATTATTGATGTGGGAGTCAACATGGACTAAATAATGTACTTTGGAGAAGCTGGGGGAAGTAAAAGCTGTGTGTCGGTATGGGTGAGATTAGAGTCGAGTGCTGAACGAGCAGGGTAGGGAAAGTTGTGCTTCAGTGCAAACCTATGCGTTGTCAGAGATACTGTGAGGAGGCTCCTCTGGGTTATCTGATTCAGATTCTAGGAAAGTTCTTTCACAGCTTTGTAAATTGTTGTAAATGCAATACAAGTGCTGTCTATAGATATGTGCTGTCCAGTAGAAGTTAAATCGATAGCCCTCTCTCTCTTGTGGAAAAGCCAAGCGCGTCTCAATTTGCACATTCATTTCAGTATTCCTAATCTGTAAATGTATAGGTTCTCAGATTTCTCTTTTGTACTTATTATAACAACTATCTGTATCCTTCATGAGATAAATAAAATCTTTAATGTGTATTCATTTCCATATCTGTATGAGATTCTTGATTTTTATTTTTATTTTTGGAAAATTAAATAGCAGGTAAAGGGGTTGGCAGCATGAGTTTTTGACAGAACTTGCTGGATGACTCCATTTGGGAAATGAAAGGCAGAATCAGCCAGATACAGCTTATGAATGTGGGAGAACACACACCACTACCCTATTAAGGTCCTAACACTCCCTTCTGGTTTAGAAAGAAGCTGTGAAGGTGATAGGTGGTAGGGAGTTTAATTATAAATGTTGATTCTGAAGTAACAATGAGACACTGAAGGGCAAAACATATGGAAGAAATCCAGGGGGAGCCTGAGCTGATAATTCAGACCTCACAGGGTAGATTCAACAGCCAGGAATCTGATGGTTTCCCTAACGGAGCCATCATAGAGCTAGATGTGCAAAGGGAAAGGAGAGAGCTTGTGGAAGATACCCTCTGTCAGCAGAAATGGCAAAGTAAGGAGTGATCAGAGAGGCAAGAGACCTAGTTAGACAAACACTGATGAGTAACAGTCATCTAGCACTTCATGGTTCACCCTGGGCAGGCTAGCAATTCAACGCTGTTTAAAATACCAATATTTATTTAGAAAGGAATAAAAATCGTATCCCTCCTACTATGTTCAAATTAAAGGAGTTGCTACATATATGAGCAAAAGAATAATATTTTAACTTGCTTATCTTCTTTCATTTTATAATTCCCCCATCATCAAACCATAACTGGATAATTTTGGTCATTTGAGATCCCTGAGAAGAGAGGTAATCTCCCCCTTGTGGTAGTCTGTGAGTTGTCCCCCAATATTGGTCTCCCCTTTTTCTCTAGTATTGAAGGCTTTAGCCAGGTGCATTCCCATCCAACTAAAACCATATTTTCCAGTCAGTTTAGGGTGATTCTGTAACTAGGTTCCAGCTAACAGGAGGGAGTGGAAGTGAAGTGTACATGCATGACTTCCAAAGCATAGTATTTTCTCACCCATTTCATTCATTTAAAAACTTTTATTGAATATCTGCTAAGTTCCAGGCACTGTTCTAGGCACTTGGGATCCACCAGTGAAAGAAAGACAAAGATCCCTACTTCTGTGGAGCTTATTTTCTAGTAGGAGGAGGCAAAAATAAACATAAGTAAATTATACGTATGTGAGAAGATAATAAATGCTACAGAAAAAAGAGGTAGAGCAAGGTATGATGGTTGGGAGCAAGCAGTGAGGGGGACTGTGGTGTTGTATGCAGTAGGGTGGGCAAAGTAGGCCTTATTGAGAAAATGACATGGGAACACAGCCTCTAAGGAGGTGAGGGAATGACCCATGTGGATATTGGGGGAAAGGGCTTTCTTTGTGCAGAAAACAGCCAGTGCAAAAGCCCCAGAGGCAGGAATGTACTGACATATTTGAAGAACAGCAAGATGCCAGTGTGACTTGAGTGGAGCAAGTGAGAGGGGCAGCAGGTGATGAGATCACAGGTGGACGGGGACAGGGAGGCCTGACCACATAGTACCCACAGGCCACATTAAGGATTTTTGTCTTTTATTCTGAGAGCAGTGGGAGTCACTGGAGGATTCTGAGCAAAGTGGAACCCAGAATCTAACTCAAAAAGTATTATTCTGGCCTCTGGATTGCGAATAGGCTGTAAGAAGCAAGGGTGGAAGCAGAAAGACTAGTCAAGCTATTACAATAAGGTAGGTCAGGGCTGACAGTGGTTCAGACTAGGATGCCTGAGTGGAGGTGTTCAGAAATTGTAAGGTTCTGGGTATATTTTTAAAATAGGGCCATCAGAACTTCCTCATGGACTAGAGGTTGGGTGAGAGAAAAAAGAGTGAAAAATGATTCCAATTTTTGGCCTGAGCTACTGTAGGGAAGAAGTTGTCATCAGTGAGGATGGGAACTAGGGTGTCATCAACTAGGAAGGCTGTAGGTGAGGCAGTGTCTTGCCAATGGGTTTCAGCCCCAGGCAAGATCGCTATGGATTCAGTGAGACCGAGGAATGACAATGGAATGTTCTTGGGTGAAAGGGTTTATTACCAGGCTTATTCTCCCAGCTATGTTGAGCACTGGAATCACATCCAATAGTCTGTAGGTCTGTAATCCTCCTCCATTTCTCCCTCTGTCCAGAGCGCTGGCACAGCTCAGTCAATAATAGCTTATTTCCTACTGGTGTGGAAGCAGTAGCCTAGCAGTAGGCCAGTTACATCACCAAGCAGTTTAGGTTCAGGTGAGGATCGGCCATAAGAACTTTCATTTTCTCCACAGGCAGGTTTGCAGGGGTTTGTCAGGCGTGTGAGACGTCCTTCACACATCCAAGTGGAGATGTGGAGGAAGTAGCTTGATATATGAGTCTGGCATTCAGGAGAAAGTTCTGGGCTGGAGATATAAACCTGGGAGTCATTGGTATCAAGATGATATTGAGGGCCAAAGGGCCAAGGGCAGATTGCCTACAAATGTGCCAGTTTGGCATATTGATTATTTTGATTTAAACATTTCTTGAGAAATATGCAGTGTGAGAACAGTCTGAGCCATCTTTGTCTCTAGAAAGCAAGAACTAAATCTCCCATGTGAAAAGTACCCTCTCTGTTCCCCGAGGTAAAGAGATATTCTTATCACCAGGTGTGGGGGAAAATGGAAGCTCTCACGGCCAGGATCCTCACAAGACCCTAAAGTTCTTGATGATGTAACTGGCCAGCTGCTAGGCTGCTGCTTCCACACCCATAGACAATAAGCTATTATTGACTGAGTCACTACATAAAGACCTCCACCCAGTGCTCTGGGCCAAGGCAGTGATGGAGGTGGATTGTGTATGGACCTGCAGACTTCTGGATGCAGACATGATTCTAGTGCTTGACCTACCACCGGAAGAATAAAGCCAAGTATAAACCCTTTTACCCCAGGA